AATGGGCCATCGAGCGCTATCTCAAAGAGAAGGTTATGGACGATGAGCAAAGCATCATCGCATCTCGGCAGCAAAGTCTGCAAAGCCCGCGATGTCCAAAAACGCCAATCTGGACAGGCCGAGATCTGGTGGACGGGCAGCTTCAAGATTGAAGGCCTATTCATGCAAATGTTATGTGTCTCAGATGCTGGACAGCGTCAGTTCAGCGACATGTTGCCCTTTCTTCAGTGTGCTAAGTGGCCAATACCTGGGCCCACACAAAGCTACCTTTCCGTGTCTCTTGTTCAGTATATGATCCACCAAATTAAGCGCCGTGGCCGTCGCCGTAAAGACCTGGGTCCTGGCGGGTCCAGGGTGTGGAAACAGTTAGTCGGACCTGAACGGCTTCGGGTTCTTGCGCAGATGCCATTTTGGTTCTCTCAAGAACGATTACTCAAAAAGCCTTTACGTTGACGACATAATAGTCAGTGGGCCAAGTGCTCAACACAAAAGTTTTTGGGACTAAATGAAGACGATGTTAAACATCGAGGATCCTACTCCGGTTTCGAGGGTACTAGGTAGGGAGCATCTTGTGAACAGGAGCCTTGCAGAGGCTTCAGCAGAGTACGGCATGAGCGACTTTGCAGAGTCTCCTTGTGAGACGTACCTGAAGCTCGCAGGCGGCATCACCTTAAAGCATGCCCCCACGCCTTTTCTGGTTGACGCCGCGCTTCTTGAAAAGGACTGGGAAGTGAAAGGTGCTGTCTCAGAACACACCACCAAGGTATTGATGAAATGCCTTTGGCTTGCCCGCCTGGCCTCCTCCGTCCGATTACGGAGTTGAGCCGCCGCATAACGCGCTGGTCATCTTAACTACGGGTCTGTTTGGCGAAGGTCTTCCAAACCAAAAGTTCCTGTCGCGAATTCTTGGACGCAGTGTCTGATTGCGTTGCAAACAGGACACTGCTGCGGGCCACACAGGTCATCCGTAATGGATAGTCACCGCGCCCGCGACACGCAAGCAAAGCTCACAAAATCGACTTAAACGGTCTTTATGACGTTTTCCGTGAGGCAGACACAGTGTTGGAGCATGTCAGGACTGACACTCACGCAGCAGATGTGTTCACCGAAAGCCTTCCCGGGCCTAAGTGTAGTAACCCTACCGTCGCCGTCGACATTTCCCATGAGTGGTTGCATACCAGCACCCCAGCACAGAAACAACGCTGGAGCTTCGTGAGCACTTTGACCGGGATGATGTGCTATGATGTGCTTCGTTGTTCGCGTTGGACGGAATCAGAAGAGCCCAATTCCTGGGTGAATCTGTTTCGGTCTCAGGCCTCTTGTAAGTCTTCATTATGACTGTCACTGTCAAACGACGATGTTTTTGTACAGACTCCCAACACGCCCCGAGATACACGGGAGCATGCAAATTCATCGACACCCTGCAGCCGTGGTTCTCCAGCTACGCTTTCCAAACTGGTGATCTGTAAAGTAGGCTCTTAACCGATGGTGACTCACCTAGGCGGGGAGCAGAAATTACCAGGAGTAGCGGTAGGATGCCATGCTTATGTACATGCTTGTGTTGACTACCGACTTTTGGTTCAAGTAAAAGAACCTTGCCGAGCTGTTAGGGTTCTGCTTGAGTTAGTAATCAGCACGGCTAAACTGATTTTAACCTAATCTTTGACTGCTGTTGCTAGCGCGACTGCGACTTCTGCCTCTACTGCTACTGCTGCTGCTGCTGCTGCTGCTGCTGCTGCCGTGACTGCTGCTGCTGCTGTTGCTGCTCCTGCTCCTGCTACTGCTACTGCTGCTGCTATCGCTACCGCCACCACTGCTATTCCTACAGCTATTGCCACTGCTATGGTAACTGCTGCTAATACCGCTTCTACTACGGGTGCTCCTGCTACTGTTACCGCCGCTACGACCACTCCCAATCCCACTCCCACCACGGCTACCACCGCGACGACGACCACTACTACCACTGTCTCTGCTACTGCTGCTGCTGCTGCTGCTACCACTGCTACTACTACTGCTATCTACTACCACCACTACTACTGCACTACCATCTTAACTGTACCCGGCCAGGTGTTTATGGAATGAGCTGGACGGAAGTGCTTGCGCAGATGCTCATGGCAGATGCACCGGCCGGCACGGGTGGCTCCCTTGAGTCAGTCCTGTTCCTAGGAAGCATTCAAAGAACAAGACAAATAAGTAGGCTGAAGCTCTTTCGAGATTCGTTTATGCAGTGTCGTTGCCACGGCTGTGAAACTCTGGAGTTGGTTCAATTCAAATCGTGTTAGAGCTGTATGTTGCTTGAACACGAGTTCTTATTCATTCGCCGTGCACTTCCATCAAGTATCCCTCAGCAGAAGTTCGCGGGAAAATCACTGAGAGCGACGACACCGCTCTCTGTCGACAAAGCATTCATCAGAGAACTCGTCCGGAACATTTGAGTCCTAGGTAGATCCGATAACAATTGCAACACCGCTGGCAGCAACACTATGTCGCTGTTGTAGACCAATGCATTGTGGGTCAGGCCAGAAGGACGGAAAGGTGACGAAACATCTTCTGAGCAGGTCCACAGAACCTCGGTGCACGGCTGTGGGAACTTCTGTGCTAGCAGGCCGCTATAGCCTGGCTCAGATGGCTGTAGCAGCCGCATGGCACGACGTTTTTGCGTCACTACACGAAATCCTGCCGTCGTTGCCGATTTTCGACATGCGGAGTCGTTCGAAATTCTACTTTGGGTTTGAGCATGTTTGAGCTGTAGTTCGTCATTCCAAAAATTGCAGTATCCGGAAGGGAGTATTTGACCCAGCTTGGGCCATTGTTGGTGTACTCGTGGGGCGACGCGTCATTGGCTTTCATCTCAGGTATGCGGGCAGTCTTGGCCATTGGTTTGGCGACCATCCGCCGCTCAATCGGACTACTCACTAAGCGTGCTAGTGCTCGTGTCAAAAGTTTAAGCTGTCTGCTGTTGCTGCGGCCTCTGCGCGCATCGGTTTGAGGAGCTTGATTTGGCGTATCCTGTCGGCAAGAGTGGCTGCCAAGTCACCGAAGATTAAGATAAGCTTTGCCGAGACTTTCCCTGAACTGAAGCGTTTCAGGGACGGTTATGTTTGTCATGCTGTCGCAACAGTGTGGAGTCCAGGGCTTGGTGCTGTCTCGCCTTGCTGAGGCAACAGTGGTAAGTTCTGGGTGCCCACGGCGGATCTCGAGCCCTTCGGATCATCTTGGGATCGTTTCCAGTCTTTCTTGCTGGCCTGGTGTTGCAGCGGTGCGTCAGAGATGCTGAAGCATGCCTCAACACCAAGACTAGAGATCCCACGTGCAGAGTTTTTTCACGAGGCTTCGGGAGACGAAAATCGTCAACCAGCTGAGCGACGAGGACCTGGAGCGCATCGTGCGGCTCTGATGTCATTAGATGGATCCTTGCAATCTGTACACCCGTGAAGTAGATACACTCAGATGCACACGGGCCAGCAAAGCGAACTTTCCCGTTAGCTTCTTAGGCTTTTTCAGGATGCCTTTTGCCTGAGGTACGGGTATGTCTGCGCCAACCAACAGTCGCTGGGATAAGGATTATAGAGCTGCAGGGAATCAATGAATTCACTTGTGCAACCCAGCCGAGGATACCAAGACTAGTGGCTTCCTGTGAAGCCTACAAGACCAAGAAGCTCTCTGCCGGTCGCAAAATGAATGCGTAAATCTTCACTAGCCCGGTTCTGTGGCCTCTCGTGTTCCATTGCCTTGCCTAGCTGTTTTGGCCGTCAGAAGGTGACCACAGCATCCCGCAGCGAGCTTGGTGGAACGAGGACTTGAAGACACCTGAAGTCTAGTCTAGCAGCCTGGGACGCTGGGCGAGCATTGCACGTCTGCGAGAACGTTCCGCTCTTGTGGTTTGCAGGAAATACAGTGGCGGCACTGACGATCGTGTGCAAACGGCAGCCGCTTTCGTCACTTTGTTGCGTGAGCTTGGAGAGGACCGCATGCAACAACTTGTGCGTAGCTTGGAGCCATACTTGGACAACTAGTGCATATCACGGCAGGACGGGTTGCAGGGTTTGTTCTGGCCGCGTGGAACGGGTAAGGGATTGTGAGGTATTATTCTGCATGTTCGAGAGAACAAAAACGATGCTCCCACGTGTCGCAGCAGTTGTGCTCTGGACCACTATCTGGAGTTAAATCAACTTCGCAGAATAGAAGCTTTCCACAGCGAAAACCTCGGCAGGACCAGCAGGAAGTGGCATCGGTACGGGATGGCCTGGCACACTACATGGAGTGCTTTGAGGAGTGCTTTGAGGAGATGAGATACACTCTGTGGTGGACAAAGAGCATGGTCTGTGCAACCTGTCAGGCTCAGATTAACCGTTCCAAGACGTGAGATCGACGCAGGAGCTCACAGCGAAATGTTCGATTCGACTTGGGAAATAGATTCTTCGTCCTGGCAGGACATGCCGCTCTGTGAAGATCGTGTGACGACCTGGTCCCCGCGCGGCCGTCTTCTTCCTGGGAACTCAGGCCCCCCCAGGCACAGTCATTGGTCGTTTGGGGTACCGAAAGGACATGAAAGGGCGCAGAGAACCCCGTGATCTACAGGTCGAGCTCTGGAGAGCGAGAAGGCAGGAAGTGGGGGCACGGAGAGCGGTGTGAAGGTGGATTCTTGGTGCGAACGTTGGTTTCCCGGTCGTGCAGAGGCGGTGGCGTCCGTCGAGAAAACTTCTTGGGTGCCCATTGGATCTGAGACGCAAGCCGGCAACTCAGATTGGTTTTGTGCAGGACGTTTAGGCATAACGTGATGGAGCCGCCGATGTGTTCCTGCGAGTATCGCACGGCAGGTTGGGTAAACACAATTAAGTGTGGAGCTTCGGCTTAGCCATTGAGGCTCAAATCCGTATGGTTCATAATAAGGCATATGGTCGCTTCAAGCACCCTGACGGGCATGAGCACGAATCATGTGGAGACACTCTAGATAGTCCATTTGACACCAGATTTTGGCTTTCAGCACCCCCCACGGCATGCTGGCCGTGGCGTTCGTGCTTTTTTCCTTCAACCTGTTCCAGGTTGGAGCACCGGCATGCCTGCCGAACCCTAGAAGCCTTAGCCAGCGGCGCAACGTCACACATGATGGTGAGTCCTATCCCATTGGTCTTGGGGTCAATGACTGGGATGCTGCTTATGTGACGAGCGGTGTAGTTCACATCCTCATAGAGGACTTCTGGGAGCCGTGTGCGCGCCTGAGTGTAAGCAAGACTTCGAGAGAGTGGGCCCTGGCCAGGAGTTGCTGGGCTACAATGTCATAGAAACAGGACCAGGTCCTGGAACACTCAACGCCTTCTATGCTCTCATGGGATGCGCGCGGCTGCTCAGCTTGGTTGGGGTAGCCAGGCAGCATGCCATGCCTCGTGGCCCTATACTTTGAAGCCTTTAAGGCCGCTAAACCTGAGTGACGCCGGATGTGGGTCGGGTGTTACCTACAACCACATCAATGTCGAGCAGTGGTCTGAAGATCACGCAAAGGAGTGGAGCGAAATCCAGGCGAAGTATCCTTCCAGGGCTCCTCTCGATCTGGGCAGCATGGGCTATGATGGCGCCATCTCCGCGTATTTCCCAAGGAGTGTCCTGGCCGAGTCCCACTTTCAGGATGGAAACGTTCTGGAACACTACCGAGGATGGAATGCCTCATGGAGCCGCAATGAGAAGTACTTTGACACCTTGGATTCGATTAACAGAAGCCAGATGCATCCCTGCAATGATACACGCTTTATGTCCTCGCAGCCGAACGAGGATTACCTCAGGGTCACAGGCACAGGGGCCGAAAGACGCAACAAAAACTAGTACTACTACCGACACTGTTTGGAGTTTAGATCCGTCTCTGAAGTCGACTTTCGTCGGACCTTCGTCGGACCTCGATGCTGTGTCCAGGTGATTCTGAAGGCCTTCGGGCTCTGGCGAACGGTGATCTCATTTCTCACTGCCCTGATGGCTATTTCTGGCTGCCTCCGGCCTGCAGGGCAAACCCTGTCCGGTGCATTCCCTACCTGACTGGGGCCCTCGGCTGGTGGGGTGTTGATGACATGATGCAGAAGGCAACGGCTTTTGACATGCCGATAGCAATCGGCGTGGCCCGAAATTGGGCAGAGATGCCTTTGCATGTCAAGAGCACCTTTTACTGGTGGGTGCCGGATGCAACCTTCTTGGATCTTGACCCAGTGGGAATCACTTTTCCACCCTACGATTTCAACGCTTACATGAGGGGAGACAAGCGCACGGCAGCTGCATCCAGCGCCATCACGAAGCTTGTGAGCCAAGACTTATCGACCTTGGCCCCAAATGTCGAGGAATTCATCCGGGGTTTGCGCTTCAACATGAATGACGTCATGGACATGATGCGAGACAAGAAAGCAACCGGTGATTCGCATACTGACGTTGCCTGTCGCTTGGTCGGCTGGAGCTGTAGGCCTGCTGGACTAGGTCGAATTCAGGTTGTCCGTCAGTACCAGTAGCAGTAGCAGTGGCATTGGCAGTAGCAGTAGCAGTAGCAGTAGCAGTAGGAGCAGTAGTAGTAGTAGCAGTAG